TCTTTCATTTGAAAGTAAAATTACAACACCTGCAGCTTCAAATGCTTTCTCTTCCAGGCAGCAAGAATATGAAATAACATCTTTTTGATGATCAACAGTTCCTGAGTGATGTCTCCAATGCTAATGTTTCTTCTATTAGTAGTGACTTCACTCGCTGCTCCTCACATTGTATACTGCACTCAAAATCAGTCTTCAGACATACATGTCTAAGCATTGCATATAAGAAACTACAGATGATCCTTAAACTGTTCATGAATAAAAGTGAAACAAAACTACTGACTATTCCTACATAATTGTTACATCTTATCAAAAAACGTACAAGGAGTTTTCTCTGAAAGTATGAGTTTTGCTTGCTTAGTGCAGGAGTAGTTGTGACTCATAAAATATGGGAACATTAAGGGAAAAAAATCCCTTGAATTCAGTTCTGAAAATTGTTGGATATATGTCCACACTACAGGAAAAAAGGAAGCAACAGATTCACCCAGCTGGCAAATATCTTTCAGTGGGATAACTAGACTATTCTTTACCAATATATTCATGTGTAATCATGGCAGAACAATAATTACATAAAAAGTTTGATATAAGTGGTGATTTATCACCACTTCTAGGGTCTTCCATTTGCCAGTGATGCAACGAGGATAGTACACCAAGAAAAGACCTTTGTAATGAGAGCTGTAACCTCCTCTGTCTCCTGGGATCTCAGGGCCTTGTGACAGCTCAGCCATTGCTTACCCAAGATTAATCTTTTTGGGTTTTTTGTTTGTTTGTTTGTTTTTTCTACTTTTGTCCCTGATTGAAAAAGAATCGCATTCACTCCACCCAGGCCATGGTAGGGTGAACTGCTGTTCTGCAATGAGAGACTACGCGAGGAGCAGAGCTCTAAATAGAATTTCTCCCGTATTATTTTGTCACCTCATACACTGCAAATCTGTAGTGATTTTTTTATTCACTCAATAGCATCTTCAATCACATATGAAAGAGTTTTTAGAGTGTAACCACAGTGGACTTTTTATTTATAAAGACACCTTTACTCTAGGGGATATATTCTGTGTCTATATTCTGTTGCCAGCTTTCATTGAGGTATGCACTGCAGATTCCTCAATGGCATACTTACCTACTTAAGGAATGTCTCTGGGTCCCACAGTAACAGGTCAATATAGATAAATCCTGACAATTTTCAATGCCCTGGCAGCGCAAATTAAATTATAAACCAGGCTTCGGTTTTGATTGACACAAAAACCTTAATAATATCAACTTAACTTCATCTGTGCCAATTTACCAGAGCAAGTTTAAGTTTCATGTTGAATATTATGTGTCCATAAAGTTGCATCCATTTAAAGGCAGGTACAACTTTAGCCTAGCCAACTGATCTTTAAAACGAAAACCACAAATTGCAAAGCATTAGACACCATGCAATTCCTTTAAAAAAAAAAAAAATTAGTCTATTAAATATTTGTTGATTAACTGCTATAAACAGAAGAAATGGATTTTGCAGTGAGTTGTTTATTTGTCTGGGGTAATGTAGGTAAATTAACGCTTTTAGAAAAGTAATGTCTATTGAGAATCAATAAATCATACTTCTCAACCAAAGAAGACAATGTAATTGAAACAAAGTTTTAATTACCTATAAAATGATCTTTCTAGTATGTTGGCCAGATTTCTTTATACCAGCGTATATCAAATTCCTTAAAAAACACTTCATTTTCCAGGACCTCAACTATTTGTGTGTATTAATCTTATAGAACAAGATCCGTGTCCAGTGAAATTATGAGACTAACACTCAGGTTTCTCAAATCTTTTTTCCTGGTGCAGAATAAAAAAACTTTAAAGATGAACATCGGTGTCCTAATTTTACAGGCTGGAAGACAAAGAAGAAAAATTATATATCTACGCTCAGAGAAGCGTAA